TTTTTTAATAATTTCTAAATAGTTATTTCTGTGAATGACAAAAACTGCTTTATAATTACAAGACAGTCCATGCAATACGCTATTTTGTAATTTTACCCACAATTTTAAACATTTGTTTCTTACAGTTTAAACCCAAACAGTTGTGGTGGCAGATCTCTTTCAATTACAACATCAGCATTTTATATAGATCATATATAAAGTATTTCATATTCATCTTGAGCCATGAATTAGTGCTGACAAAAATTCAAGAAGCATTTCCATTACTTCTGTTTCTATTCACCTTTAATCCAATGATCTTTATAATTAAATACAGAGGATGCTTGCCCGTCTCTGGCTTTATAAGCATGTAATTACAGCATACTTTTATCTATCAATGAGGCCAGCATATCTACCACTAACTATAAATGAGCACCAAAAAAGTACGAGTGTCTTTAGCATCATCGATTTGATCTACAAAGCAGCGACACGCTCTCTGACTGTCCATTTGTGCAAACTGTCACGTTCAATGGATAGAGGTCAGAGCCATGTGTCTGGATGCATGCAGCTGCAGTTTGGTGACACTAAAAATGATTCAAAGCTCTGTAAAAGCAGACAGCACAACACTGCAGAGGCAGTGACCACAAAATGGAAATAAAGGGACAATTTATATGACAAAAAAGGGTGGCAAAAAAATCAATGCATTTTAAAGGTGAATTAAAGTTTGTTTGTTTCCACATCGCACAGGAAAAATATTAACAACCCAGGCCTGTATAATCTTAACTATTAATTAGTTAAGATTAACAAATCTATTAGACTACCTGTCATAACAACAAATCTATCAAAACTTTGTTTAAACTTATAACTTGTGTTTATTAAGCAAATAACAAACTAATTTCACTTTTTATAGGCAAATTTGAGCTGACACACTGGAATCCTTAGAAAAGTCAAAAATTGATCAAGCACAACATTCAACCACTAAAATGAATTTGTTTCTGTTACAGCAATACAAGTAAAAACTGTAATTTGGTATCTAAATTTGAAAAAATAATAAGAATGCTCGTCACTATTTCTTTCAGCTTTTTTGTAAAATGTTTGAAAAAAACAATAATTATATTTTACTGGTGGACTAACAGTTACAGACACATTCAAAAATGATTTTGGTGAGTGCTAATGCTAATGTTAATTTAGGCATAAATCTTACTCTGGGTGGTGGTCTATTAACTTTGTTAAGATGTGTATTTGGTCTCTAAACATATTTTTGTGCTTTTGGTTACACATCTAACATTTAGGTGTTTTTGCGCGTGCTTGCTGTAAATAACTTTAACACAGAATTTATTTTTTTCATGTATATTTTGTAAATGTAGGGAAATTGTAATGTTGGTACAAAATTTTAGAATGAGAAAAAGTATTTACATTTAT